AATTTCTAGTGCGCCTTCAGATCGCACGGGAAAAGGCTGGTAGGCCTAAATGTGAGAATGGTTGTTGTGTGGTCGGTGTGCATGGTAAAAAAAAATCTGGGACCCAGTGGCGCATTGTGGCACACCATTTTAGCAGTACCTTGTTCACCTTGCCTCTTGCGATAAGAAGTGTCCTCACTCCTCGTCGAATTGGGACACTTTGTTCCCAGTGACAGTTCTAATACAGATGGAAGTGCCAGTGAAGATGAAATTTCCAAGGTTATGGTGATGTTGTGACCAAAACTAATGACCAAAAAATTTTTTTTTTTTTTTCCCGGAAAAAATAGTGAGGAAAACCCAGACGAACCTTCAGCCTTCCACCTCTGCTGCTGGGGCCTTCTTGTTTCACTTCAGTTGAACAAAATCAAAGAGGAAAACTCCTATTTCCCCCAAATCCCGCACTCAAGATTGAACATTGTGATGAATAAGTGATAGTGAAAATGAACTACAAGTTCTTGAAAACAGTTCCAGTGGTGATAGTGGAAGTGGAATATTCTCCCGGTGAAGCGTCAGTATTTACGACGATATAGCTCTCTGGTAGTGGTGCCAAATGCAAGTTCCAAGTGAAAGGAGTACATCTAGGAGTACATCCCATGGCTGTACAACAGGAACAGACAGTTAAAATAGATGAGTGTTGCGCAATTGGGATGGAAAAATGTGCTTGTGGTGGTGGTGGTGGTGCTGTGCCGTGAAGCACCAGCAGTGACCAGCTGCCCACACCCATGCTGCCACTCCATGCTGCCACCACACGCCGCTGGCCTCAGTCGGATCTACAACAAAGCCACCATCCCCCACCCACCCCCACACCAGCCTCCACAACCACAACCACCACCTGTCAATGTGCATACCCCACACAGACCGACCCTGGGATTGGCAGGAAGCTTGTCAAATTTTTTCCAATCCCCCACCACTTTTGATGAAAGCCAAAGTGGAATACGCCCATGATGTACACTGGTGAACAATGCCACTGAACTGAAATGTTTCGAGTTATTCTTTGACGAACCCTTGATGGAAATTATTGTCAGGTAAAGCAACAGATTACTTACGAGTACACCATGGGCACACACAATACTTTCAATCCAAGCTCATGCCAACACAAGTGGAAGGAGACAACTGTGGCAGAGATATCTTTTCTTTGCCACAATAAATGCATTATGCCACATGTGTATAAAGCAGAGTGGTGAAATCATACTGGCAACAGACAGCCTATTGCAACCCCAGGTTTTCAGTGATTAATTATGGGAGTGAATCGAATTTTCTAGTATTACGTGTGCTTCATCTTCGCAGACAAAACCAGGCCTGAAAGAAACGACAGGTTATATAAGTTTAGGAATGTGTTTTGAGTATCTGAACGAGAAATACAATATGTTATTTTTATCCATCAGAAGCTTTAATTGATGAGTCATTGATTCTGTTCAAAGGAAGACTCTCTTTCAAGCAGTAACATACCAAGCAAGAGGAAACATTTTGTCATAAAGTTGTTTGTGCTTTGGTGACTTTTACAGTGGTCTGGTATGAGTATTATTGTGTACAACTGGAAGTTATACATTGCAAAATACCAGGAAGTTATTGGGCATCTCTGGTGGATGTGGTTAAACAATGATAGAACCATACCTTGGTACCTGATTACACTGGAGGTTATTCTGGGATCAACGCCCACCCCGGCCCGACCTGACCAGGCCTCCCGATGATCAGGGCCCTGATCAACCAGGCTGTTACTGCTGGCCGCACACAGTCCAACGACAAGCCACAGCCCGGCAGATCCGGCACTGACTTAGGTAATCCTGTCCAGCTCTCTTGAAGGCAGCACAGGGTTTAAATTGGCAATTCCCCTAATGCTTGATGGGAGCTGTTGAACAGCTTGGGCCCCGGACACTATGGTGTATTACCCTTAGGGTACCAATGGCACCCCTACCTTTTTATTGGGGGCATTTTGCATTGCCTGTCCAATCTTTTACTTTCGTAGGGAGTGATTTCTGTGGTTCAGATTTGGTACCATTCCTTCCCAAGATTTTCCAAGTGTAGAATATGATAATATCACTCCCTCCTGCGTTCCAACGTAGTACAAGTCAGTGTTTTTTTTTCTTCCGAAGCGTTTCCCTTAGTTAAGTGCTTGACAGACCTTTATTACGTGCAGTAAAGGGTCTCTGTAACCTCTCTAGATCTGCGATTTTCACCTGCTTTGAATGGAATTGTTAATGTACAGCAGTAATCCAGCCTAGAGAGAACAAGTGAATTTAAAAGAATCATCATTGGCTTGGCATCTCTCATTTTGAACATTCTCATTATCCATCCTATCATTTTCTTTGCACGTGCGATCGTGGCACTGTTGTGATCCTTAAAAGTGAGATCCTCAGACATTACTACTCCCAGGTCCCTTACATTATTTTTCCACTCTATTGTATGGCCAGAGTCTGTAGTATACTCTGTTCTAGTTATTATCTCCTCCAGTTTTCCCTAACGGAGTAACTGGAATTTGTCCGCATTGAACATCATATTGTTTACCGTAAGGGGCATACCGTAAGGGGCATATTTTATATACTGACAACTGGTACACAAGCCTCTCACTCGGTGATTTTTTGCGAGTGAACATGACAGAAGTGTGTGGCACAGTGCATGCAAATTGTAAACATATGCCCAGGTTTGACACTGCACTCATAGATGTGAGGTGCAGGTGTCTGCCTGCCAATGACATCATGGTAGTAATTCGGTGGCAATGACAAACAAGATCACACTGGGTTGTCATCATTCCACCCTAACGATGACAAACACTGCAGGCAGCATAGAGAAAGCAATGAACCCATTCTAAAAAAACCTGTACTGTGAAGATTACACCCTCAATATGCACTCAGTGGACAATGTGACGCAATATTGTTTGCTGATTGTGTTTGCAAGAGTTTATAAGGGTACATAAAACTCTTTTTTCCATTCTTCCTCTGGAGTCTGGACATTTCCTGCTCAATGGCTTATATTGTATAAATGTGGACCAAAACAAACCACCAATGGTGAATTCTGTTTGTCTGTCCATCAGACAAATAGTATTCAAGAACCAGGAACAACATGCAATAACTGCCCACTAAATTATCAACAACTACCTTCTGTCTGAAGCATGGTGATCACTTCCTAGTAAAAACTGCCTGCAACTGCCTTTCAAGAAAAAGGCTCAGAAGAGGTGTTACGTCTGTGCACATACTAAAAAAAGCCCACAAACAATGCGAGGACACTCGTTTTATGTGTGGATGATTGTAAAACACCACAGTTCATAACACCATGTTTCAAAGACTTCCACAGCCTGCAGAACTTCTAGAAACATGTCCTGTGACTGTATATGTGTGTATAAAATATAGAAAAATAGTAATAAACAACATTTCATATCGTTTGTGTAAATATTTTCTGTAAACAAAACAGTGACAATAGTGTTTATGCAGTTATTGTGTAGTATAGAAAAAGAAATAACTTACAAAATAGTGCTCATATTGGTCCACAGGCCATAAAAGTTACTTGGAAAAAAAATTAAAAAATAATAGAAAAATAGTACATAAAAAACTAAATAAAGTAATACCAGGTGATGGCAGTCGGCGATGTTACCATATACCGGGCATTTTCTGTCAAATTCATGCCTCCATATCTCGGTAAGTATTGATGGTAAAAAAATTTTTTTTAACCTATAATGTTTAGAAAAAAAAAAACTTTTCATAAGAAAAAATAATTTTTTTTTTTTTTTTTGAAATTTTGGCGACCCTGAGAACAAGTCTCTCAGAGGGCTTGGGGACCCTGAAAGGGTTAATGCTGTTGGTTGAGGGTCCACTGTACTAATAATAATTACTCTTGGGCACATTAAATGTTATTTTACGTTAATATAGACTTTTTCATTAATCACATCTATTATATCTTCTTCACTATTATATATGAAACACATTACATAACTTATAAACATTTATAATGTTTATATACTAAGAAGCAGGCAGAAGGGGAAAACAGTCCCTCACTCCCCTTATACATAACACTTTTGTTTTACAATTCTCAGCATGATTATTCATTACTTCTCCATTGTTTTATGATGCATCTAAAGGTAGTTTGTTTTTAACTAATAAACTCAGTGAACATGTATGTCGATGGTAATAATATGGGGCTCTGGGCCACATTAAAAATCTGTTAACTATGTAGTAAAGTTAGCCCAAGCAACTACAGTACCTACATTATTATTATAAGTGAAAATTATACATAGTGTACCTGTACCTAGTAAACTTTCACACTGTGTGGCTGGCATGCAGGTACACATAAAAATCACTAAGAGTGTCTTATTAGTCTTAAAGATGCCATAATAATAATGATAATAATAACACAATACTAAATAATTTACTCTAAGGAGCATTAAATATCGTATAAAACGGAAAATAAAGACATTTGACTTAAACACATCTAAATACACTCCACATTAAAAAAAATTAACATAATAATGAATGTGGTAGACAGGTGACTAGAAAGAAAACCCAAACAGAAAAAACGTTTCAACATTTTTTCAACACTTTCACCATCACTTACACATAATCACGGTCCTTTGCAGAGCACTCAGATTATGACATTTTAGATGTCATTCCAAACAGCCAAATATCCACACACCCCATCCTTTTTAAAGTGCAGGCATTGTACTTCCCCTACCATCCAGGAACATCAAATCTGCTAACCAGTTTTACCCTGAATACCTTCACAAAATATCCTGCTCACACTTCAACAGCTCGTCAGGTCCAAAAACCATTCGTCTCCATTCACTCCTATGTAACATGCTCACGCATGGCTTTCAGGAAGATCAAGCCCCTCGCCCCAAAACATCTTTTACCCCCTCTCCTCCATCCTTCTCCTAGGACGACCCCCCCGAAACCTCCTTCCCCTGAAATATACTGTACGACACACTCTAATAAGACAGAGTAAATGCAAGAATAATATAGGCAGATGGTTACCTTAATTGTGGCATGGTTTAGCATCTCCTGCCAGGCTGAATCAAACTGCCACTGCTCATGACGACAATTGACAAATCTTTCCTCGGCAAGAGCAATAGTTTCTTTTGCAGCTTGATGAAGTGCTGCAAGATAAAAGATATTTTAACCACAGTGATGAACTAATATGGCACTCTGCAGAACAAATATGAAATTGTATTTGGTTTAATTTTCTAGCACAAAATGCTTTCTTCACTCAATTTTTATTTACAAATTTATTTTTCATATTATAGTAAAACAAAATAAATATTTTACAACCTTAAAGTAGATCATAAAGAATATTGTAATCTTAGAAAAACATTTTTTCTTGCAACTACACCAGCCATCTTCCAGCAAACCAGGGTGGGGTGGAACCAAAAAGAAACCACTTTCTCACAATCCATTCAACACTTACCATCATTCACACATCACTGCAGAGGTGCCCAGATTTGACATTTTAGAATGTCACTGCATCTATCCCAAACATCAACCTCTCAAACCCCTCTCCTTTAAAGTTAGGCATTATAGTTCCCATCTCCAGGATACAAGGTCCAGTCTACTGGTTGACCCTACAATCCTTTCACAAAATAACTACCCTGCTCACACTCCAACAGTTCATCATGTCCCCGATGAGACCAACCCCCTCGCTCCACAAAATAACCCATTGTCTCCGTTTATTCACATCTCTTATTTAACAAGCTCACACATGTTTCTGCTCATGTCCCATGGGACCCTTTGCACACAAAAACCTCTTTAAACAAAAAACCCCTCCCTCAATCCTTTTCCCTAAACCCTTCCCTCCTTCTCCTGCACTACAGATTCATACACCCTCCACGTCAAATAAATTAGACACAAGTGCAATCTCTTGGGAAACTTTATTGCAGTACACCACATCATTTCGCCACACAGTGGCTTCATCAGTCCATCACCTAGGAAAACTTATGAAGAATAGGTAGGAGAATGAGGGTAAATCATCCTAACCTGAGTCAATGTGTTTAGCACAAGGAACCCATCAATCTGAGTAGAATACGGCATATGAAGCGGAGACAAGCAGCTTATAAACCGTATGGAGAGAGGTGCAGCAGTCATAGGTGGTGTCACATTTGTTCAATGTGGAGTAGGTCGTGCCCATGAATTAGGCAAGCGAAGAATTCCCTAAGTATGAAGATCCCAAGAAGTTGCAGTGTCTGACAGGTTTGTACAACTTGAATGGTTCAGAGAACCTACATGTTTGATAAATCAGACACAAGTGCAACTCTTGGATCTTTAATGAGGAAACGTTTCATCCACACAGTGGTGAAAAGATACCCAAAGAGTTGCACTTGTGTCTAATTTTATCAACAGTCCGGTTCTTCTTCCTCAACCATTCATCTAGCAAACCTGTCAGACACTGCAACATCTTAGCGGATCTTAAATAACTTAGGAATTCTTGCTTGCCTAATTCTTGGGCACGACCTACTTCCACATTGAACAAATGTGGACACCACCTATGAACTAGCCTGCACCTCTCCTACCAACGGTTTATAAGCTCTTCTCCGCTCATATGCCGTATTCTTACTCAAGATTGATGACTGAACATCAACGACCAAAGGTTGAGGGACTGATAAACTCATTCTCCTCCTATCTTCAAGTTGAGCAGCCTACGTATGGACTGACTCGAAAGCCACTGTGTGTGCGAAACGTATCCTCAATAAAGATACCCAAGAGTAGCACTTAGTGTCAAATTTCATCAACATGTGGTTCTCTGAACCATTCTTATCTACAAACCCTCCAAGTCATTCTAATTATTGTACCACCATCCTCTCTAAAATGACCAAACCAAAATACAATAACCTCCCCTCTACAGCCCTCCTGAATAATATTTTTGTGACTCCGCCCACCCTCCTAATTTCTTCTGCATAATGTTTTACGATCACCACACATTGCCCATAACACATCTTCAGTCCTCCAGCCTCACTCCTTGCCTGCAGCACTCCAACAACCCATGCTTCACAACCCATATAAACGTGTTGATACCATTATACTTTCATACATTCCCTTCTTTGCCTCCATGGATAATGATTTTTGCTACACAGACACATCAATGAACCCTTGCACCTAATTTTCCCTTCATCAGGTTCTATGGGTTAGCATTGTCCTTCATAAGCCATCTGCTACAAATCTACACCCAAATATCTGAACATTAGTTACATTCACTTCTTCCATCTTACCCATCCCTCCAATGTGATATCCAATTTTTCTTTACCTAACTCATTTGATACCTCATCACCTTACTCTTATCTATGTTCACTTTCAACTTTCTTTCTTTACATACCCTCCCAAACTCATCCACTAACCTTTGCAACTTCTCTTTAAAATATCCCAGAAAAAAATTCACAATTTTTTTTTTTTTTTTTTAACAAGTCAGGCCGTCCTCCCACCGAGGGCAGGTGACCCAAAATAAAGAAAATCCCCCAAAAGAAAAATACTTTCATCATCTTCAACACTTGCATCAAACCTCACTCTACACAATCACCGTTTTTGCAGAGGTGCTCAGAATACACAGTTTTAAAGCACATATGTATCTAAGTGAAGGGATTCCCTGAATCCCTTCGCTAAAATATTACCAACGACTCACACACCAACAATTGTCAGTCCCAAATACATTTGTCTCCTTCAATCCCTATATAACACGCTCATGCACGCCTGCTGGAATCCAAGCCCCCTCACCCACAAAACCTCCCATACCCTTCCTTCCAACCTTTTTCAGATGACCCCTACCCCGCCTTCCTTCCCCTACAGATTTAAATGCCCTCCATGGCATACTAGCTTTGATCCATTCTCTCTAAATGACCAAACCACTTACAACAAACCCTCTCAGCCCTCTGACTAATACTTTTTATTAACTCCACACCTTCTCCAAAATCCACACTCCAAAATTTTCACTGCATAAATTTACACCACCATTGCCCTTTGACAGGACATCTCCACAGCCCTCCAACTGCTCCTTGCTGCTGCATTCACAACCCAGCGCACACCCCTATAAGAGTGTTGTATTAATATACTTTCATACATTCCTTTTCTTTGCCTTCCATAGATAACTTTCTTTTTTATATTATTTATTTTATTAACACACTGCCGATCCCCACCACAAGGCAGGGGTGGCCCGAAAAAAAAAACTTTCACCAGCATTCTCCATCACTTGTCTTGCCAGAAGGTACTTTACACTACAGTTTTCAAACGCAACATAATACACCCCTCCTTCAGAGTGCAGGCACTGTACTTCCTATCTCCAGGACTCAAGGTCCGGCCTGCCGTTTCCCTGAATCCCTTCATATAAATGTTACTTACTTTGCTCACACTCCAACAACACTCAGTATTAAAAACCATTTGTCTCGCATTCCTCCTTCCAAACACGCTCATGCATGCCCTCTGGGAATTCCAAGCCCCTCGCACTATCAAAACCTCCTTTACCCCCTGCCCTCCAACCTTTCCTAGGCTGACCCCTACCCCCCATTCCTTCCACAACAGTGATACACTCCTTGAAGTTATTCTGTTTCCACCCATTCTCTCTACATGGCTGAACCACCCAACAACCCTTCCTCAGCCCTCTGGACAACAGGCCTACTCCTCGCAGCAACTATCCATTCACCCATGCATCACACCCATAAAAGAGCATTGGGTAAAACTATACTCTCATACATTCCCTCTCTTTGCCTCCAAGGACAAAGTTTTTTGTCTCCACAGACTCCTAAGTGCAACCGCTCCTCCCCTTTTCCCCTCTCAATTCTAATTTCAACCTCACATCTTTCATAGTATCCATCCGCTGACATGTCCACTCCCAAATATCTGAATACATCACCTCCTCCATACTCTCTACCCTCTCATCTGATATCCCATCAATCTTACTCACACTTAATCTTTTTGTTATCCTCATAACCTTACTCTTTCCTGTATTCACATTTAATTTTCCTTCTTTTGCATACCCTACCAAATTCATCCACCAACCTCTGCAACTTCTCTTCAGAATCTCCCAAGAAGCACAGTGTCATCAGCAAAGAGCAACTGTGACAAACTACACCTTTTATGTGTGTCTTCATCTTTTAACTCCACGCATCTTTGCCAAGACCCTCGCATTTACTTCACTTTACAACCCCATCTATAAATATATTAAACAACCACGTGCTCACACATCCTTTCTAAGGCCTACTTTTACTGTGAAATAATCTCCCCTCTTCCTACAACCACTATCTCATAAAAACTCTTTCACTGCTTTCCGTAACCTCCCTCCTTACACCATACACCTGTAACTTCTGCGCACATATGCCCACCCCTATGCAACCTGTCATCGCCTTTTCCAAATCCCTAAATGCCACAAAAACCTTCTTAGGCCTTACAAATACTGAGTTCACTTATATGTTTCACACTGTAAACAAAACACCTGGACCACAACACCCCTACCTTTCGTAAACTCCTTGTTCATAACCGCTATCCTATTCTCCGGTCTTACTCTTAATTCTTTTCAATAATAACTCTACATACACTTTACCAGGTATACTCGACAGACTTATCCCCCTAGTAATTTTTGCACTCTCTTTTTGTCCACTCCCTTTGCCTTTATACAAAGGGAACTATGCATGCTCTCTCTGCCAATCCCTAGGTACCTTACCCCTCTTCCATACATTTATTAAATAATTGCCACCAACCCACTTCCAAAACTATATCCCCACCTTGCAGATTAACAATATCTTTATACCATCAATCCGGCTGCCTTACCCCTTTCATTTTACCCTACATGCCTCACAAACTTCCCCCACACTCACAACTGGCTCTTCCCTCACTCCTACAAGATGTTATTCCTCCCATGCCCTATACAGACGAATCACAGCTTCCCTATTTTCATCACAATTAACAATTCCTCAAAATATTCCCTCCATCTTCCCCAATTACCTCTAACTCTCCCTTTAATAACTCTCCTCTCCTATTTTTTAACTGACAAACCATTTGTTCTCTAGGCTTCCTTAACTTGTAATCTCACTCCAAAACTTTTTCTTATTTCAACATAATTTTGTTGATAACATCTCACCCACTCTCTCATTTGCTCACTTTTTTACATTGCTCTTACAAC